ACACACACACACACACACATACATATCCCTAAATTACTGAAACAATCAATTCTGGCATATTATATCAGCATGAATAATAGTTGCATTTGTCTCATTCTAATCAGATAAATGTCTTCATTACATATACCTATTTATCTGCCAACTGATAAAATAATCAGTTTTATATTTTACATAATCAAATATTATTTTATATAATATTCAAACTTGCTAAGACATTAATGTAGAAAAAATTGTTTGGAACATTTTCTTTTGGCCATGAAACACAATAAGACAAAGCTGTCTGTAGTAATCTAATCCATAATTTAATATTCAGATACAAAAATGAAGTATGCATCTTTTATCCTAGTTGCAGATAAAATGTACATAATGTAATAATGCTGTTCAATTATTTGGCTGCAATGCATTGAACTAGCATTCTTCTAGCCAGAGATGCAAAAACAATGGAAAACATCTGTTCCTTAAGTAAGCTAAACATTTACATTTTCAAAAAGTGTTTTCTCAAACTGTTGCTGACATCGCCAATTTCCCTCTCCAAATTTCTTTATATCCTTTGCATTTTCATATGCCTATCTGCTTAATTCTTTTTTCTTAACCACAAACATGGCAAGGCAAACATGAAGCATGAATGAATGAAATAATATGCATAGTTCACCAATACTACTGTCTTTCTGGCATTTTTCATTAAGAGGCTTCCAAAGGAAAGGCCATAGTTTAGTGATAGTGTTTAAGGTATGGAAGCAAAGGAGTTTTCCAGACATGGAAAAATACTTATCAAAACCCTCTCAGAACTGCAGCCAATCCATGCAAACAATAAAGAAATACATGAACCAATGGCTTGATGCAATCTGAAGCATTTTTCTCTATCTCTATAAGCATGACATAGAGTAAGAAGGGGTTGTGTGGTAAATAAAAAGTCTATACAATTCCTTGCATCTCCAGATTGTCTGAAAACTCTACCTGGACAACTGGTAGTTGCAACAGATTTTGCTGAGCTGCAAGGAATAACATTTCCCAAATTTCTAAGGATCTTTTGAGACTTGACTACAAGTTGGTAACATTGTACATTCACAATAATATATAAAGATTAATGCTTTTAAATTTACTGCTCTATAGAAAGGAGACCCATAAATTTGAGAAATCAAGGCTATTTCTGTTTTCCTAAAGGACAACTCAATATGGGTCTTGGAAAACAGTATCTGAATACCAAATACAGAATGCAGCAAGACAGAAAATAAATGAGAGAAAAACAGCAAAGAATCCTGTAATACATAGCTACAGTATGTATGCTGCAATATATACCTGATATGCAATAATAAATCTGCAAAACACCAAAAACACTGAAATAAGAGAGTGGAGAAGTAGGCAACAAAAAGCGGAAATGGAAATTAACTGGGTAGATGGGCTACATCAAAAAGGAAGAAATAGGAAAACACTGCTCACCATATGCATCCGGTGAGTGTCACAGGGCTACACATTTCAATGTATCAGAAAATGCAATTGCATATTAGACTATAATTTCACATCGCAGAAATAAAATGTGCAGTTAAGGGAAATGCTACATATTGCAGTTTTAGGTAACTGTTGTCAGGTACAGAGTAATTTCAACTGTATTCAAGCATTCTTCCCATTCAACTCTCTACTTATATTCGGGGTCACCTCTTTAATGACAAACACTGCATACATACACACATATACACACCTGTTTGAAGATGCAGGAGAGTGACAGGCAGCAAAAAGAGAGAGATTTTCTTCGCAGGCTGCAGCTTCGGGAGACTGATTGCTGACAGAGGCCAGATCACTTTGCTCTTGAACCCTTAATTTTTCTCCTAGCAGAAAGATTACAGATAAAACCATAAGCAAACTGGTGAGGCTATGTTTCAATTGACACTTATTTCAAAATAACTATTTCCTTAGTATATAATTGAAATGTTCAGATAAGAACATAAGGCCTACTAGTTTCTATATTGCATAAAAGTTTGAAAATGCATCCTTTAAAACTACAGTACTTGTTGCTAAACCTTGTAGAATGTTTCAGTGGATTTAACTTTTTTTTTTTTTTTAAAGCCATATTATACAAATCTAGACTTCAAATGATAGAATGACTTTCTGATATTGGAAGAAAAGGAATAAACTGCAAGAGAAATGAATGAGTATGTAAGCAAAAAAACTTTTTCCCACATTTCACACAGAGATTAGCAAACCTGGAGGAAGAAGCTGCTCTTCTCCCTTCAGAGAGTCACTGAGCATAGACATCTTACTCTTATGAAGCTTTTCAAATCATAAATAAACACAGCACTTTTTAATAAAGTAACCTTAGCCTTTTTAATAAAAACCAAATAAGATACAGTTACACACACGCAAACTCACATACACACACATATTCATGTAGGTCACGGGTGTCAAACTTGCTGTGTCACGTTGCGGTTATGTGACATTTTGTGACGTTTTTCCTATTTGCGGCGCTGGGGTGGGTGTGGCCTGCGCATGACGCATCCAGCCCACAGGCCGCCAGTTTGACACCCCTGATGTATGTGTATATAAGTAAATAAAATAGCATAGTGTAAATTTGAGTACAAAAGGGTAGTTACATGAACAGAAGAAACTGTTATGTATATGAACATAAAATATAGAGTTAGACAAGACTTTGGAAAACTTCTAGTCCAAACCCCTGCACAAGCAGGAGACACTATATCATTCTGGACAAATAGCTCTCTAGTGTCTGTGTCTACCTCTTAGAGAGGGTAGAAAAGAAGGAATAAAGTTGTTAAATAAACAAAGAAAAAATATCACCTGTAGCAGACCAAAGAAATTGGGCCCGAGCATAGTGAAACCTCTCCCCTAATCCCATTAAAAGCTACCAGACTTGAAAATGAACAAAGCAAGAGTAGCTGCCAGTTTTGAGAATTAACAAATCAAGGATTTGGAGGCATAAAATGGCTCCTAAAACCCACCCACACTTTTGGATCTAGTCTTGCCAACTTCCATTCTTCTGGCTAGTGCCTGCCAGAAGAAGGGCAAGGGTAAGTGTGAACAAGTGTATGCATATGAGAAAGAGTATATATAGGTTTGGCTGAAAGTGATTTGAGTGTGGCTATTTCCCCGGGCTGATAATGTGAGTAACCATAAGCTAAACCTGGGAGTGCATGTCACACTAGAGCAGGGATGTCAAGCACAATTTCATTGAGGGCCTCATCAGGGTTGTGTTTGAACTTTGGGGGGGGGGCGAGATAGGCGTGGCCAGAGTGGCCAGCTAGATGTCACTCGTATCAAGAGCATCTATGGTGGCCCAAGCACTCTGCCCGCAAAAATGGGCTCCCAAGCTCTGTTTTCGGCTGCCACAGCCTCCTGAAATCCTCTGCCAGTGAAAATGGAACTTGGGAGTGCTGCCCGCAATCCTCCGAGCTCATTTTCAGCTGTGATAGCTTCCTGCAACCCTCCGCCAGTGAAAACAGAGCTCAGGAGGGCCAAACATAGACCTCCCAAGCTCCGTTTTTGCTGGCGGAGGCACCTCAGGGCAATCCTTCACTGTTTCCAGGGCAGTCCCGCGGGCCAGATCTAAGCTGGATCTGGCTCCCAGGCCTTGAGTTTGACACCCCTGCACTAGAGCAATCCTGGATTTTTTTCTCACTTTGGATTTTTTTCTCACTTTGGATTTTTTTCT